TTATTAAAATCGGACGCTCCGTTCTCTTAAAAACGGAATTACCGTTTTCGGCACTTTTTGCCCCGTATCTTCGGAACGGCTAGACCTGCCTTCGCCAAAAACTATCAATACGAATCGAATGTTCTTTGAATTATTCAAATCGCTTCATATGTGTTCCCGAAATCGTCGACGAAAATTTGTATCCGAACACACATACACACACGCACACGCACACACACACACACATACATCCATTTTTTTAAGCTATACCAAAATGTTCAGAAACCTTTGAAACGTAAAGATATATGAAAATTTTCATTTTCGATTTTTTTGCGATTACTATAACTTACCCTACGGGAAGTTAACAATCAAAGTGAAGGTTGAATATATGCTTTTTATTAACAAAACAAACCTACAATGATAATAGACCAATAGACCAGAATATAACAAGTTTTGATTAATCATTTCAGGCACTTCAAATATTTACAAAGTCAAATGGTGCATACCTAATAACCAAAGTATGTCCATATAGACACAGATTCGATCAAGTTCTTTTGCGAATGGTGGAAAGTGGACTTGTAGCACAAGAAAAGAAAAATCATCTATATAGATTGCACTTGGATGTCATAAAAAATCCAAGAAAAACTGCCCCATCAAAAAAATTATTTTCAATGACTGAGTTATGGTTCATATTCATGAGTTTAGGAGTATTCTTATTTTTATCATGCTTAGTAAGTATAGTATAAAAAAAAATAATACTTGCAAATCCTTTCTCTGAGTCTGAAGTAATTTATTTAACATCGTAAATAGTTGCAAGTTATATTAAATAAAATGCCCAAAAAACTCTATCATTCAAATCATCTACTGCATAGCCATCGTAACTTTTATAACATAATTAAATTTTGTGTGATTTCTAATTTATGTTATATGCCTCCTCATGTTCAGAAAATTGGAGATATAATATTTGTATCTGCCTTGCATTTAAAGTGTGTATTTATTGTATAACTTGTTTTACCAAAAAAAAAAGAAAACAACTTGCAAAATGAAAATCTGAAAAGGTCACTGATCACCAGATAATTATCAGCTTCTTGAAGAAATACCTTTAAAATTTATACAACAATTGATCCGACAAAAATAAAATCGATAAATCCGATAAAAAATAAAGATATGCGCGATAGATATAAAATAGTTATATCAAAATTATAATAAACTAATGAAATAACATTAATCAAATAACAATTATGGCTATTATGACTTTCTGACACATTTCTAATTTACAGGTTTTTGGTATGGAAATCGCTATGAAGAGGAAAATTAAACAAAGTGGAGTCAAGTAGAGAAGTGTTTTTGAAAATGTATGCTGAAAGTCAATACAACATTTTGGTATCTCAATTTTGTATCCGGCTACAAAGATATATATAATGATATAATTATAGATTTAATGTAATTATTTGCACCATTGTTGAAATTTAACCGTAGTAAATAATAAAGAAATTGGAAAGAAAATATAATTTTTATTTAAAATGCATTTGCAGCCTTGCGCATAGATTGGTCAAATTTTTCTGTCTCGAAAAAATTGAACGCAATTTTATTTAATTTTTTACCACATAATTGTTGTGAATAATAATTGTCTTAAGTGGATGTATGTATATATATTTTTGTAAGTTGTAACAGTAAGAGCACTAATGCGAAGGAATTTCAAGTGCGTTGATATTGTTTGTTTGTAAAGATAATTGTACCGAAAAACTAAGAACAAATAAGAAATACTTGAAAATAAAAAACAAATAAAGTGAGTTATTGAACCACAACATAGGCTAATTGTAAGTGTCTAACAAATTCCACTTTTTGATATACAAAATCTACATTTTGCATATCAATTTTTTTTTTTAATTATGAAAATCGTTAAAACAGTATTAAAATACCTATGCTTTTTATAATAAATATAATAAATAACAATAAATTTTATATAGGTTTATCAATAAATAAATTTCTATTATAAACTTATTTTATTATGAACTTAAAAGTATGATTAAATTACTGTAGGGTAGAGCGGGGCTAGTTGAGCATAGGGGCAAGTTGAGCAATCGAAATATCTCGAAAACTATTCACCGTCCGTTTAGGCATTATATGGCGGAAAGATAGAGGTTTGGGAGAAATAAACATCCCGCGATCGCTAGTGGCCGCTGGACAAATCAGTGAGACTCACGGGCGTTTTGTTTATTTTGAGACCAAAAAGTAAAAAAGTCATTCATCACCAGTTTTCGTCTAGTTTAGTCAAATGTTATTTATTTTTAACCAGGTAAATTTTATTCTTCCATATAATTATAGTACTTTTAATATGCACAGAGATTCTGGCTATAATTCTCACGGTTTTTTTATAAACTCACTTTTATTTTGAAATTCCGAGTTGGGGTTAGTTGAGCATAATTGCTAAACTTGTTCTGTCACTAAGACAATTACCATTAACTTCCAGAAATTGATCATTATTTTTAAGATTTAAACTAAGTCTATGAGTAGTAATATAAAGAAATAATAATTTTAAACAAAAATACTGAATATAATGGTAAAATAATTCCTAAGCTACGATATTGTTCTGTTGATTCTACTTTTCGTTAATTATTCAAAGCAAATTACTATAAGTTTTGTTTTCTCTGTCAATAAAGACTATAAATACAGAACTGGTTATTAAAAACTTATTTTATTTCATTACTAATCGACATTGAACCTATGATTTTATTATACTTTCTTAGTGCTCAACTTGCCTCACCTATGGGGTACATTGAGCATACTTGACTTTTTGCATTTAAACAGCTGTAGCTTTTAAAGTTTACTTATTATCAAAAAACAGTATTAACACTTTTGTTAAGCGATAAACAACAAATCCATTAAGTCATATAGCAATTTATTGAGACTTTTCATTGAGGTGCTACATCCGTTTAAGTAAAAATTTGCTCAACTAGCCCCGCCCTACCCTACCTATATCAAATTTAATTTAAATATATTTATAAGATAACCTATACTTTAATTTACTTAAAAGAAAAAAAAAATGGTTACACACTGTAAATAAATATTGCAATATCCATATTGCATATAAACCAGGGGCGTAACTACCGCCGTATCAGCCGTATCAAAAATACGGGCCCCCCGAGCCAGGGGGGCCCCCAACGAGCGCAAGCAGAAAGCAAAACAACAATTTTTAAAAAAATTGAATAATTTTAACGTAGTTTGCATTTCCTTTTTTATCGAGAGGTATTGAACTTCAACTTGTAAGCTAACCGCTTTAAGAGAATTTATTTCTGCTGCAATATTTCTACAAGCTCTAGCAATTAATTCAATTAGTAAAGCTTTTCCACATTCGATAACTTAGCAAATCTATAAAACTAATTCAGATTATGCATTCTTCATCGAAAATTGGAATTTGGAATTGTTATAGTTATATTTATAACATTTTTATATTTTGTTTTTGTTACTACTTGAATTGTCTGCATGACGCGTCAGTTTAATAGTTAGATTTTGATAAATATGATCAACTAAATCATTTTCAGATTTCTTTCTTCATTGTTTAAAAATATAAGTTTCTGTTCTGAAACTTTACAACACGCCAGTAATAACTTACAAAAAACTAGTATTTTATTAAGTAATCCTCAGTAATCCTTTGAATAGACTGTGCGAATTAACATATGAAAATTTATTGTTGAATTTATTGAATACGTTTGTTGAAGAAGTACAAATAATTTGCAAAAAAGATGGATTGCAATAACTATTTAAAAGAACAAAATACAAAAGATAATGAAGCGTTATTATCACAAGATGAGAGAATTTTAGACCCGAAATCTTATTTTAATGTATACTTTTGCTCTTTGGATATATTAATTTCATAAACCAAACAAAGATTTAAGAACAAATTAAAATTTGCATTTTTGAAATCGAGAATTAATAAACGTTTCCGGAAAACTGTCGACTGAATTACTGTGAAGAAATATTGTAAAATATCTCATATGATCATGAGTCATTACCAATTGATAATTCTAGAAATAGATTTTGAATACAGAAATCTAAGAAATTTATTTCATTAAGGTACAATGATGGATGCAATAGGCTTGCATCCAGTTTTCCCAACGAAATAACAGTATGCATTTTTTCTTGGCCTTTAATTACAATTTACAGTTAAAATTGCAACAACTAAAAAAATTTTTTAAATTAAAACTAATTAAAAATTACCTAAATACTTTAGGACATAAATGTCTACCAGACCTGTATGTTCCTAGAGACAGAAACTTTATAAAATTTAAAGATCACTTAATAAGTCAGTTTTTCAAAAAAAGGTAAGGAGAGTGAAAATTAAATAAATAAATAATTAGAATGATAAATAAATATTCTTTTAATATTACATTATTTAGTATTTCTATATTTTGTGAAAAAAAATTCTTCTTGAGGGGCACGCTACGCCCATACAATTGGAAAGAGTTGAGTGAACCGTGGTAAAAATAGAATATATACGTACAGAAATTATACCTATAGGTATAATTTCTGTACGTAAACTATGCAACAGTGCAATTTATATGATAAAAGATATTATACGTAATGAAAATTTGTACATTATGTAGATAAATTTTATTGTTACAAGCACAAGTAAAAAAATATTTATATTGATCATTGCTTTGATAGCGCTGATTTACTTTGACTTTCGACTTCTTAATCGGAATAGTTACTTTATAATATATTTTAAAATCATTATAACATTTAGAATTAAGAATATTTTGATAGCAGAATGACAAATTCCTCTAAAACATCAATGTCATATGTTCGAAACACAACAAAAAACTTAACCTCAACTTGTCAAAAAAAAAACAATATTTTTTATTGTAAACATTGTCCCATAGATAAGAAAATTATCTATTCTCTAATTTGCAAAACGATACACATTTAGATTTAAAATAATAAAAAATATCTCAAATGAAAAACAGTAATTTATGTTAAAAGAATAATAAAACATAAAAAATAACGTTCATTAAACATACCTCTTGACAATTAGCTTCAATTAAAACACAAATAAAATAAAATGATAATGAAATTTAATTCCGGTTAATATTTAGCTCATAACACACATTAAAAAACACATATTAAAATACACATATTAATAAAACACATGTACTAATATAGCACAATATTTATTAAAACCAATATGATTTAAACACGTATGAAATTTGAATAACAACAATGACACGAAAAGCATTTTCATCCTTGAGCATAGGGTAATGCAAAGTAATGTGTAGACTGGAATGGGTTGTAAAGGCACGTCACGCATGGTACTGAAGAACTTCACTTTATTAAAAATCCCGTTAAATGCTCGTTAATTTTTAGTTATCTTTTTACATCTTTGCTAGCAATTCAATAGTTGACTATGATTAATTAATAACTTAATTCATTAATTGAAAACCATGAATATTGTTATAAAAAATCCATATAATGATTATTATTAAAATAGGTACAGGAAAATATATTAATGCATGATAAATAATATACAATGCTTATGCAATATACTAGCGACGTGATTCTAGGTATATTTATAAATAAAATTAAATCTATCCAAATCTAATATTGCGATTTATTACGAAGCATTATATGTGCCGGATCATAATAGAAAACATTTATGTTTATGTACAACTATGTACGGATGTAAAATGTTACTCACGAAGTTTAAGTCTCAAATTTTTAAATATAAAATATGTTCTGTAAAATTTAAAAACTTTCTTATAATCTTCATAAATTTAAAACTTTCGAGCATTGTTTCTTTTACTCTAATGAATCCATAATTATACAAGTGTGTATCCCTGATACTTGATTATATGTATCTATGGATTTATTCATATCGCCAACGCCAGCTGTCAAAACACTTAAGTAAGCATGTGAAGCATTGAGGTTAAACGGGCCACCATACATTAATATTTTGCATATAACAAAGTAAATTATAATTAGCGTACCTTTTTAATAAATCGAAATGAATTCAGTTGAGCAATTAGGAAATCCAGAATTAATAGAATGTATGAAACAATTTCATACAAAAATTAAAGAAATAAATGATAACCTAGATGTTGTCTTTGATTCTGATACTTGTGACAATTTAAGCGTAAAGAAAAAAGTGCAAATTGAATTGTATTTAAGTTACGCCTTGAATTCATTTTTTTGGATGCATTTAAGGACAACGGGTAAAGACCCTACTAAACACAGTGTTGTTACAGAAATGATGAAAGTACGAGAATACATGTCTAAGTACAAAGAGGTAAAATTCATGTCTTCTTTTCTTCACAATAATCACTTGTATAAAATTGAATAACTGTTAATTAGTCAATTATATGTTGAATTCAGCATGTAAGGAAGAATCTTCTAAATATAAGCACGCTTATGAAAGTTATTCATATCAATATTTTCCTAATAAAACTTTTTTCTTGCAAATCTTCTTGTTTTATTTTGTTGCTGCACTACTAATATAAATGTAATAAACAATTTTGTAATCATTTTTGAAATTATTAACACCCTAATATTGAAATTTTACTTAGTCTCCTAGTAGTTATCAAAATTTGCTTTTATTACAGTAGCATATTAATCGATTCCTTGTTCCTTAAGTTATTTTTCATAAAGCTTGAATACTTTCGTAGCAATATAATGTACAATAGATAATGATTTGAAATATTTGTTACATATTAATAATTTACAACTAAGAATGCTATAACAGACTGATTATTATAAAATTATTTTTGATTTCATTTTGTTTCTTCACAGATTATTGACCGAGATAAAAAACCCACCGTAGATGCACAAGCAGCTAAAAGATTTATTAAAAGAGCGCTGTGGGAACCCAAAGCTAAGATTACACGATTTGATTCACCTGATAAAGACTGAGTGATGTTTTATTTGTTTATTTATTATCTTGTATTATTATAAATTCAGGTTTAAGTTTTATCTGCAAATGATAATTATTAATAAAACAAAGTTATATCATTAACTACATCAACTATTAATTGTTTGCATTTTTGCACATTATTTGCATAGTAACAATTATATACAAATATTTGATTTGTATATTATTATAGTTAAAGTGTGTTGTTGTTGAGATGTGTGTGTAAGTTGTTTAAATGCAAACTGTCTTGAGGATGAGCAGTATTTGTTTATACATTGCTCTTATTCATAGCATGGTTTCAGTATCCAAAAATAATAGTTGTTTCAATTTAATACTATTATATAAATATTTTTCAACTAGAAAAACAATAAATGAAATAGTACTTCCTACTAAATGAATTATAAAAACTGTTCTCAATTCATTCATTGTGAATGTTGCCGCATGACCTCCTTCATCTAAAAATAATTCAAATATTATAATCATGCGATATCGATATTTAGAATCATGCTATTTTTATGATAATGTGAATGAATAGATTATCATTACTTACTCTGTGGCAACAGTTGTCCATTTCTTTTGTATTTGTTCATTTCTATACCCCACCAGTGCTCAACTAATCCAGATTCCCTAAAATTTTGAAAAATTATGAAACCATATCTTTTTGAAAGACTTTTATATCTTCTGTAAAGGTATTTTAAGAAATATAATTAATAGTCAGTAGTTTTCAAATTTTATAAATAATTTTGAAATTTCAATATATATTTTTCGTTTTAATATCACTAGTTTATACTCATACTAATAAATTTTAATTAATATAGTTATATTGACCAATTTCATTAAATAGCAAACATTATTTATTAGTCAAATATGATACAAACCTAGCTTGCATAACAATTTTATTGAATCTATCTTTGTACGGAGATAGCTTCTGAATAAGCAATGAGTTGGACCTGAACGGTGGTCCTTGTTTTAAAATGTGCAACAAGTTTCGTCCTGTCTTTGAGTCTCGCATCTGTTACGATTTTTGAAAAAGCGCTATCAGAAATATGGTCTTATAAATATTCTAATAGTATTTATACTTTTACCAACGTATATTATCAATAAGCCTTTTTTACCTCAGACCAGAACATAAGGCAGTATTTTTCTGACAACATCATTGCCGATTTTCTTTCAGAAGCAATTTTTGCAACCGCTTCTGAAACATTTGATACCAAAGATTGTTTTTTAAATAATTTTCCAAAAACTGCATCTTCTGTTGTTGTATTTAATAAACTTTTATACATGTATGTGGTTTTTATGTCCAAATTGCTAGCTGCTAAATCCTCCAGATTTTCCAAATTCAGTGTCATTTTACTAGTAGTTAAAAGCCTCACAGTTATGCCTATGGGTTAAATAAATTTATTTAAGGGGATAATAGATACTAGGGTTTGTCGGTTTTCAAAAACCGGTTTTTTGGCAAAAATTATAGAATTCGAAAACCGGTTTTTTAGTGAAAAAGTCGGTTTTCACTGTAAAAATGGAAAATGACAAATATACCGATATATAAAAGACAGATGGAAGCGTTTTGATTCTTGAAATCGTATCGGTTCAATAGCATTTGATATCTTATTAGTCTGCAATGGTTCCCAGAAATTGTATATGTTAATTTAGATTTTTATACCAGTGTATATATTAATTTAAATCAGTGTGACTTCTTCTTGAAGAAGTAACTTCCTCTACTCAAATTTAAAAAAAAAAGAGTTTTGAACCCTAGAAGCCACAAATAAAAGAACAAAAAACTTAGAATTATTATATCAGGCTTTAAAAATAATTAAGCATAATTTGGTCGCAGGTATGACAATATTTTCTATTTCAGTAAATTTTGTGAGTAAACAAAGGACACGTCTAGTAGCAATTCGATAGACGTTCTCAGTTTTTTGAAATCATATTTTATTAAACAAAAAAAACGATTAGAGTGTTTAAAATGAATTAATAAAAATTGCTTGGAACAGACAATACCCGAGTTTAGCTTAATTGTTAAAATTGATATTAACAAGTATATACATGTATCTAATATTAATTTAATAAATGTTTTTTATTTAAAAATGTATTATTTGTATTTATTCGAAAACTTTCCTTTCACTATCATATAATAATATTTTCATTCTTATATGTGAAAATGATGCATGAATAACGAATAATTATTTTCAAATTTATTTAATCAAGATAAACTATTATTTTTTAGTTCTACTAATTAAAATTAAAATAATTTTGTTTACTCTCTATAAAATTGAACAATAAATATATTCAGTCAAATTCTGCTCTAAATCACACTAAATTTGCGGATAAAAATTACAGAATATTCGAGCAAAATTTTTTTTTTTTTATAAAATTCGAAAACCGGTTAAAACCGGTTTTTTAGTAAAATTAAAATTCGAAAACCGGTTTTCTGAAATGTCGGTTTTTGTATAAACCCTAATAGATACATATACATATATACATTTGAGTATATATGTACACATATAAATTGTCCTATACGCTATAAAAAATCATATTTGTCGTTTCTTTTCTTGACCTCCAAAACTAATTCTTGCATGTGTATCTTTAAGTTTATATTGTGCATTATTATAACTATTTTTCAAGCAGTATATTAGTGATAGATGCGCAGACAAATATTGTAACTATAACGTTTTAACACTTTGAGTTTTTATGTGAATAGAAAAGTAGTTCTAATTAATTAGAAGTCTAACAGCTTAAGAGCTAAACAGCTTTATACTGAATTTTAATTTAGAAATAAGTGATTAATTATAAGTATATTGTACTTCTAAAATGTCTATCTTAACACGTTCTCAAAATATAACAAATATCACTTTTACCTTGATAAAATGTGGAGAGTATCAATGCAAAAGGCCAGGAATGCATAAACGCATCTCTCGTATCTAGAAACTATATTTATATTTTGTGTGGTGTCATTATAAATATTGCAAAAACTGATAATAATTTTCTCTAGCATTTCGTTTCGTTTATCTTCATCACATGTTTTTTCATTATTGAATTCTAATTTCTTCATGTAATAGATAAAATAATTCTAGAAATTTTAAAATATTACAAATTAATTATATGTATATATATACTAATATAATTATATAATTAATATAATTATATGTATATAATTATATGTATATATATAATTGTTTTTATTGAACATAATAAAATTTTAAACTGATTTTAAAGATTTGATATAAGTAACTGGTTAAAAATCGTATC